CAGAAGTGGCCCATGATAGTAGGTGATAGACATATTGATCCAATCACCTGCCAAGTATTTTTTAAATACTTTTCCAAATGGCTTCCAATGGAGCTTTAGATGGTTTGGTGAAACAAACCACCTGAGTCAGGTTAGTAATGCTCCATCACATGTTTTACATCTATTACAGGGTGAATCTTAAACTGAAGCTTGACTTTAAAGCAACCCAACAGAAGTTTCATGTAAATTTAGTTCTTTCACTCGTAGCTCGGGCTGCGGGGGTGCTAGAGACGGGAGCACGTTGATACGACCTTCCTAGCCGGAGATATGGCCGCATTTTACAATAAACTTCTGTTGGGTCGCTTAAAAACAAATATCGCAAATCGAATCGTAATATCTGTCAGAAAAATCGCAATTAGATTATTTCCCCAAATCGTGCAGCCCAAATGTCTAATGCTTTGGAATTAATGTTTTTATTTGGTTGCATAATATATTGATGAACCATTGCATGGGCGTTGTGACTCACTGCGTTCAGACTGAAGGGAGATTCAGTCATCGTGACCTTTTTCATGGTCGGTTCCTTTTTCCATGAAACAGCATGAGCCGAGACCAAAAGCCGAAAGCAAGGCCGTTTCCACTTAATCTGAATCATGCATGACGTCATGCAAATGATTACAATTAAAATGTGATAAATTGATTTGCTTACAGTGTGTAATAGCAGTTGGCCCATACATAATGTAAACACCATAAAATGGTATACAACTAAAATCATGTTTTTGATAATTCTTCCAAATTGTTAAATGTAACATTTAGATTTTTTTTTTAATTAGACTTTAAGAAACAGACATTTAAAGCCAGATAAAAATGATTAGTATATAATGTAAACTAGTTGAAGAGATGCCACTACCATTCTGGAAATGATATACTGAGAACAGAAAGAGAGACTGAGTAAAAATATAATCAGAACCCGAGGAAAGACAAGACTTTTGAAATATGACCTTGAAGAATGAACAAGGGCATTACTATTAAACTAGCAGTGTAACTGTTGTATTCCGCAGAGCCCCGGGATTCTCTCTGCCATGCTAAATCCAACCGCCCTTAATAACGTAACCACTGACACCTAGAGCTGCACCTGTAGGTTGATTCATTGATTAGTTGATTGACAGAAAAATAATCACCAACTATTTGTTAAGTAATGGACTGACAAACACAAGACATGTTGAGACATGACCTTGGACTTTGAAACACTGACATAGACATTTTTAATTGTAAATAATGTATAATCCAATAAATATATATCATGCAGATTCATAGATAATATAAATGATTGTTAGTTGCAGCCCTACTGAAACCCTAAATGACAAATGTGTACAGCATATTTTGCTTCCACACAATCACGTCAATTAGCCCCTCCTGGAACAAGGCTCTAACGCATTCAGGTTTACCAAATGTGTGTTAATCTTACTTTTAAGGATAGATATATCACGACCCAAGAAGGCAGAGGTGGAGGGATAATCAAAGAGAGAAGAACGGGATCCAGAGAGTAGGTTGAGAATGAAACTATGGGTGTTGGCGAGGAAAAGGGTTAGCTAATTACAGTAACCATGTTGAATAAAATATTTTAATGTCATACCTTAGCCAATGCTCTCACACGAGGAGACCATTCTGTAGGCCTGCAAATTTAGCCTGGAAAGTAATTACACATCGGTTCCTTCTCGTACGGGAATTACGAATACATTGTAATTATGCCTCACTGCAAAATGTCTCCATCCAGGAAATAAAGCCATTATCAGGTCTTGAATTATATTGTAACCAAAAGAGCAATTTGTGAAGAGATATTAGCCTCTTTTGAATGTTATAAAAGAGAGAATCCCTCTTGCCCAGTGCTCATCTCTCTATCGCTGTCGAGGCTTAAGTCCCTCAGTGGTGATGGAAAGGACACAATTGGCTACTTTCGTGACAAAGACTTATTTGAAATTCAAACAACCCTTCACAGCCATCGAAGCACGTTTGAGAAGACGGAAGACAAGAGGAGTCTCTTTCATCCGACTAAACGTCTTAGAGGTGAGCCTCAGCTCTCACATTCAACAACAACAGAGGCAGAACCGGCACCACTCAAAGGACCGTAATGGAGTCAGTTTCTGCATTTGTCTTTGAAAAACAATATGTTTATGCTAATGCTCTGAGGCTGAATTTAATAGAGGATGTAAGTGACACTCTTTGAGATGAAACACATGCACACGCAGGCACATGTGCACTATCAACTATCTGTTGAGTTAGGTCAACAAACATCATAGAGACAAGACAATGGCCTGCTTATACATTTCATAAAACAAAATGTATTGTTTCAAAATACTGCAATGACATTTTAGCACTTTTTTGAAGTCAGTTAATATACATTTGTTTACAGTACCTATGTGGAGTCAATCAATAACCTTAAATAATGTCATATATAGACTGTATCAAAAAATGTCTTGTACCTTGCCATAAGGAACAAACACATATCATTTAAACTACTTGTAACAGAGCAGAGGATGCAGAAAGTTGGCAAGTTGAGGATGTATTTTTGAGCAACTGTGTGCTTGTCTAATCCCCATCTTCTTTTTCCCAACAGGCAGCAAGCAAAATTAATCTGAAACCTACTGTGCTCAGAGGCGTTTGCAGCTGAGACATCTTTCCTTTCTCACACTGCCAGTGGCACTTTGGAAACACTCACCATCTCAGCACTCCCATCAGCATGTGCATCTGAAATGTGCCACGTTCAGCAGGACAAATCCCAAAGCACAAAAACCCATGCACACGGACACACACACATGCATACACAGCAACATACCAGCCCAAAACAGCATAGCAATTCAAAGGTCTCAGTAGTATCCCTTTGCTTTTCTGATAATAAAAGAGTCCTTTGCTGCTTTTTCACTTCCAATCTCTCTGCACGGGAAATGTCTTGAAATGCAGCCCTAAAACCAACCCCTGGTGTGATATGGAATAACCTGCAGAGAACATCAACTGTTGAATTTGTTGTTCAATGCAGTGGCTCTTTCCGGCAAGTGAAAATGTAAATAGCTGAAAATTGAAATGATTTGCATGCATTCACTCTCTGCAAAAATACATACACACCCGGACACGCACGCACGCAAACACTAATACACAAATGCAAGGCAGCCCAATGGGCAGGCGGATAATGGAGGAAGACTGTGTAAATCCCATATGTGCTTAATCCGGACACTTACAAGAGAGTGTGATTCATACTCTATTACACTCAACTAATACAGCCGAGAGACGCACAGGGCACAATCATTTCAGCAGGCATGAACCAACAAAATAACACCCATGAATCCTCTTTATGGGGACTCCACTGAAGAGGGTGTGAAAGGTCGGGATAAAGCCTTTGTACTTATTAGCCATTAAAACATTGATGCCACACCCACAGCATGTGTTTGTATTTGTTTGTGTGCATTTCTGTGTGTGTGACTGTGTGCAAAAATAAAAGGGCTTGTATCCGTTTAATGGAAGGAATTTCTCTGCAGCACACTGCAGATCTACAGTGTATATAAGTGTTGAGAGAGAGCTTGGTGTCTTTTCTGCAGATTCTCTTAGGAAGTGGGTTTTGAGGTGGATGAGGTTGTTAATTGTATATAATATATAACAACATTTTCTTTAGTTAATTTAACATACTTTATATTAAAGGGGCCCCATTGTGCTTTTTATTTTATTTTCTCTTTCGTGTAGTGTGGCTAAACTCCTTGTGTTCCCTGTCTCTCTCCAAAATGACCCCTGTCAGGGTCATTTTAGCTTAATTAGTGTTGCATTGGTTAATATTGCAAAGTGTTGTAAATGAACACATTTGAACTATCTAATTGAGTAAACGCATTTAGCCTGTCTCATTACTTTTGATATCATTTGAAATTGAGTCAGATTGGTAAGGGTCCACTATTGTGGCTCTCCCCTTTGAAAACCTAACATCCATTGTTCCTATTCTTTGGCTACAAAATCCCACTTTAGTTATCCTGACGATGTTTGAGTGTGCTAACCGCATTACGCTGTCTTCATTAGTGTGAAAAATACACCACCATAAGCAAGGTAGAGTCCTATGCCAAATCACTGTTTATCCTGTACTACAAATTGTGAAATGATATGAAACCCATGTAATGCTCTCACACCATCAGTTACACACAAGGCCATTATGTTGTACCATCCAAGGCTTAGGTGATTAGCTTTGTTCTTTTAGCTACATTCTTATTCATACTGCACTGTGTGTGCTTGAGGCAGTATGAGATAAGTACTGAAGGATTCCAGTGAAGGGCACTTGCGCAACGTGGTGAATGGTTGACTTTGAGAGTATTTTGTCTGTTTCTGATCTTCTAACTTGATTTTAACAATAATATTAAACTTTTCAGTAGTTTTTTACTCGGATAGAAAATGATAGAAAACCTAGTTTGATCCACCAATGTCTTCCCATGGGATGATGTCAACATGCTCCAAGGCTTTCCCTGATCATGAGAAGGATATAAATCAATAAGAGAAATAACAAAAGCTTTACAGCAATCTACAGTCGCCTGCTCCTTGTGCCCTGCTGATCTTAAAATCCAAAGAAAGTCAAATGGACGGCACACCTACAGACAAACCAAGAAGCAAACAAAACAACACTCAAAAGCACTCAAACTGTTAATAGGTGATGTGTGTGTAAGGTTGATGGATCAAGTGACAAGTAATAGTAGCTATATACAGTCCATCCCAAGAGTTTGCCTCTTTTTCTATATACCTTCAACAGACTTGCTGTTAAAAGAGAGCACAGCCAGGAAAACACAGATGCATATGACACAACAAAAAAAGCGGCTTATTCAGGTGACAAACACAGGGGAACACAAGGAGCTTTTCAGGTTGCTTTCCAGCCTAAAATAAAACCTGTTTTTGTGTGTTTTGTGCATTTCTCAACTACCACACGCCTTACTCGGGAATACTTTGTAAGACTGCATCTGTTGTGCGGCTGCTGCTGTCTGTCAATCTCCCAAACGTACCTTTCTTGTCTCCAAAGAAGAGGGTCTGCTGTGCAGGGTTTGACCACTGGAGGGAGGTGTTGTCATTATACTCCACACGGCAGGTCATGTTCACCGTCCCACCCTCCGTCACCGTCATATTCTGAACCAGAGGGTACTGACCGCTGATGCCTGTAACATGACACATATGGAGAAAAGCGTAAGAGGAGATGAGGATGCATCAGGAGGAAGAGAGAGAGAGAGAGAGAGAGAGAGAGAGAGAGAGAGAGAGAGAGAGAGAGAGAGAGAGAGAGAGAGATAGAGAGAGAGAGAGAGAGAGAGAGAGAGAGAGAGCGTCACTAAGGTAGACAGGGAAACAGATGGTAGATTTGTGATTGCTTGATTTGTAGGGTTGCTTTGTTAATTAAATGTGATTAATACATTTCTGATGATCCAATGAAGTAAAAAATGATGACGGTAAACTAAAAAGTAATGTGTTTTTACCCAGAGGGTTTTCAAAATATCTAAATAAATGGAAAAAAACATCCTTATTAAAAAGCTAATGTTCAGCCAGGATACTAGTAGCCTACTGTGTCACTACTGTTAAATTGGAGACTAACATAGGACACAAACGGGGCGTTTAACCAGTGGTACCATCCCTGAAACCTCAGCTACACAGGGAAGACCAATTAAAAACCATTCTCAGTGGACTTGTGTGTGCACATGTGGGTTTGTGTGTGTAAGGCCTGCACCCAATGAGGGAAACAGAAAGATAAACACAGTTATATAATTGGGTGTGACCTCGAACTCTGAGTAGAGCTAGTTTTTAGCATCATGGACAGGTCGCTTTTTGCAATTGGTTTGTCATAGCAACCTGGCAGTTTTCAGGACAGCTCACATATGTGTGTGTGTATGCTTCAGTTCATGGATGTGTGTGTGAGAATGGCTGTGAGCAAGTAAATAATAATAACCATCAATCTATCCCTGTCCCTATACCCAGAGGACACGTTTTAAAGAGTGTGTGAGTAAAGGCTTATGTAAGAAAGATTATTCATCCCAAGCTATAACTTTCTCGTCGTATACCAAGACCCCCCAGGATGGGATCATAAAGCAAAGAAAAGAAAAGATAAATAATCATATATTGAAAAAGAAAACAAATCTCAAATCCATTCCTGTCTGATGCAGTTTAATACCTTTCCATTCAAACACTGCCAATGTATTATATCTCATTCAGCAGGCGCATTTGTATGTCTCCCTCACTTCAGTTAATGACTGCACAGGTAAGATCAACAAACCCTTAAATAGCGCTTGCCTGCAGGGAAAGCAGGTGAGGCAAACCCCACCACTGACAGACCTGCGGTGAAGGACGTGTTGAGAGGGGAGAGAGTGAGGTGAAGGAGAGGAAGGGAGAGGTAAGTCAAGGAGCATGGGTCATTTCCAGTGTTGATTAAGGCCTCCCGAGGTTAATCATGCGTGTGAGAGATAGAGAGGGAAGAGCAGGCAAATGGAGGAAAAATGGATCTGAGCAATGGGAGGCTAGGAAAATGTTTTATTCATGAAAGTTTTGCATGAGGCATGATCTGCCAACGGTTTACCGTTCTCCTGCGCCTGCCCTCGCTCTCTTTATTACTTCCTCTCTTTTCTCTTCTATCACTTACTTTTTTCTCATTTTTCTCACTCACGCAGTTGGGCGACATGCAGCCCACTGAGAAACATTTTATTCCCTTTGTGCTGGTCACAAAGGGAATGTAATGGTTAGCCGCCATACCCAATGGTGGAAATGATGATTTTTTTGTGTGGGTTCTGAACAATATGATGCAGCGTATCGTTTTAGTTCATGACTGCAACATGTAATTGAAAATGGAGACATCTTGCGGATATTATGGCTTGTTGTATTGTCAATCCTGTACTCAACCCTGAATATATAATCTTCTAATTAAATATAAAAATGATATAATTCAAAGAACAACAACAAGAAAATATGACATGTAGGTGATTCAATGTTACACCAAAGGCTTATGCCCCTCTGAAGACAGATGCTTCCAGATGTTTAACCATCTAGATCACTGGTTCCCAACCTGGGGGGCGCGCCCCCCTTGGGGAGACGCCAAAGATCGCAGGGGGTGCGCCAGTCCTCAGATGATTTGAGGCCAAATATCATATTTAGAATTTAAATTTTTTTTTTTTACATATTGCCACTAAAAGCCTTGTCTCTACATTACAATACAATGTAAAAAATAATTGATTAATTAATTTGAATACAAATTCAAGTTAGTAGCTATTATAGGCATAAAAACACAGAAATGTATAATTATTTCTTTAATATAAATGTTTCTTCTGCCCGTAAAGTGTCCACACCGGGCTTGTCTGGATAAGCGCATTTTAAAAACATAGTCATTGTCCATGCCGGTTTCAGTTGGATTATTTGTCACAGTTGCTCCGATCAGATCGGTCTCCTCCATTTTGTAGATTATTTACGACTTTTGAATCCACATAAACACATCGGCAAAATCCGGCTTACTTTGAGCATGTGTTTTAAACAGTTTAATCCCTTTGTGAATTGTTTCCACTTCCGCGCCCTCCTTTAATTTCTTCATACAGCGGGAATCCAAATGAATGAATCCTGAGTCCAATAACCATCAAAGTCACTCCAATAGTGCTCCTTAATTACGCTTTCATCCTCCTTTAACAAAATACTTCACATTCATCCAGTTTGTTAGAGTAGTTGTTGTATTTTTGAGGGCGCAACTTCCAACAGTAGTGGGGGCGCAACAGCGGTTGGGAACCACTGATCTAGATTGTTGTAACAAAAATATTACGCAAATATTTAAATTGTAAATAAATATATGTAATGATTTATAGCACATATTATGATGTAGATATGTCAACAATATCTCTTCCGTTTTCTCAGTTGAAGTTGTGGTACTGCAGACAGAATGAGATCACTATGTGCACTACAGGTGACACATATTTTAGCTCCATTAAATCAAACTATACGTTTACATAATAATAACTTATTGATGTGTTCTCCTTTTTTTTTTAGAAAACTTTATTTTATATTATTTGGGCAGTACATGATATACACAAGTTACATTAATAATACACATAAAACACAATTCATAAATATATAAATAACATAAAGAGAGCACGTTTATATTCCAATGAGACTCAGTTCGGTCACAGACTGAAAATGCCCCATGGCTGAGTCTGGGATTTGTCCAGGGTTTTTCTTCTCCTTAGTTCAGTAAGTATTTGTTTCACGATGGTGCCACTGTTTATGATCGTCTGATTTAGTATCATTTTGCACCTTGTCTTCCAGATTTTCATACATGTGATACAAATTACCAGCTGAAAAAGGTCCCTGTGTTTATTGTCTATCATCCAGAATACAAGCGGCCGAGATGGGTTTTCTCCGCAGGGTGGCTGGTGTCTCCCTTAGGGATAAGGTGAGAAGTTCGGTCATCAGGGAGGGACTCGGAGTTGAGCCGCTCCTCCTTCACGTCGAAAGGAGCCAGTTGAGGTGGTTCGGGCACCTAGTTAGGATGCCACCTGGGCGCCTCCCTAGGGAGGTGTTCCAGGCACGTCCAGCTGGGAAGAGACCAAGGGGTAGACCTAGGACCAGGTGGAGGGATTATATCTCTTCGCTGGCCTGTGAGCGCCTTGGGATCCCCTAGTCAGAGCTGGTTGATGTCGCCAGGGAAAAGAAAGTTTGGGGCTCTCTGCTGGAACTGCTACCCCCGCGACCCGACCACGGATAAGCGGGAGAAGATGGATGGATGGATCCAGAATACAATACATGATTGAGACATATTCTACATTGAAGTCTAACCCGATGCCCCGTAGGAGCGATCACACCTCCTGGGCTCTGTAAAGTCTCGTCCTCCTCACAGTTAATCATGGGGCATGTTCTAGTTTTCACATAGCAGCTCCATGAAACCACAGCTCTGACCGCAAGTCTGTTGACTGATATCAGCCACCTCACGTCTCTCATGCTCTCCCATAACTGTTTACTTTTTACTAATTTTAAGACTTCGTTACTTTCGTCAGGTGTTACGCCCCGTCTACACTACAGGCATCGAAAAATGCTTTCACCGCTTCGCCCATTCACTTGAATGGGGTGACGTAGTTGATTTTGAATCTTCGCCGAACTGCATTGTGGGGAGCGGAGCGTGGCTTGCAAGTATCGTGAGCATCAAAAGTTGAGCAATGTTTAACTTTTGAGGCTCGATGCTTGGCATCAGCCAATCAAATCCCGTTTATGCAAATCCCGCCAGTACAAGCGCTAGCCAATCAAACCGCGTGCAAGCTGGGAGAGCCAGACCGCAGTTCATTTCCTCATATTCCAAACGAGAAATTACGGTAGCAAATCACCCGGTTCTTTACGACCAGAACTATTTACCGGGATACAAACCGGAGGAACCAGGCATGGAGGGAGGTGGCAGAGACAGTGGGTGAAACTGGTAGGTTTTCGCCTGTTTGGGGATTTTATATCCAGTTTACTTCGTTTTAACATTGCTATTGCTTTGTATGTCGGGGGCGGGAGATTCATGTGATTGGTTGTTGGTCGCCTTGGGCGCGAGAAATCGCCAAGCCTCAGACACGCCCAGCTTCAAGATTTTTTGATGCCTGTAGTGTAGACGGCCCGTTAGGTTTTTGTATGTTATAACACCTCCATATTTGAAATAGTTTATCATTTAAAAAATTACTCTATTCGGTACTCCGATCCAATCAATCTCTAAAAGCTGAACTTCAGTTGTGAAGTCACCATAAAGTTTAAACTAACTTGTAATAGGGTCCATTTCTAGCTCTGCCTCTTCTTTTCTTCCATCCCATTTCTCCATCCTCAACCCAAGGTGCTTTCCTATTGATTGCAGCCGAGATGTTTTTTACAAAGTTCATTTTTAGTTTAATGCCCAGGTCTATGGCTCCCAGGCCTCCATATTCCCTACTCTTAAATAACAAATTACATTTGGTAACCTCCCTTGTTGTACCCCACACCCAATTGATACACTGTTTGTTTAATTGCATAATTATTTGGACTGGTGGGGGAAAAATATTTGCTAGAAAAAGGATCTTGCTGAGTATGAATGATTTTATTATGTTTATTCTTGATTTATAATTTGTATTTTTATTCTCCCAGTGTTTAACTTGTTCTTTGACTTCACTTAGTTTGATCTCCCAATTGAGTTCAG